TTTCTTCAAAATTAGCAATTATAAGTGTGTTTGTCACTCCGCATTTGATTAGTATTCTGAGAGAGAGCTCCCAGAAACGGTTCTGGAGGGGTGTTACTCCTGCCAGAACCTCGAGACTCATGTTATGCGTTGAGTGCATACAGCCTAGAGCAATACGCAGACAACGATATTGAATTCGTTCCAATTTTATTAGGTGACTTTTTCTTGCCGAGAGAAAGCAGAAAGAGCCGTACTCTAGAACAGAGAGAATAGTTGTTTTATAAAGCGTTATGAGGTCTCCCGGATGAGCACCCCACCATGTGCCGCAAATTGAACGGAGAAAGTTGATCCTCTGCTGACATTTTTGCTTCAAATACGTAATATGGGCATTCCAAGTGCACTTTGAATCAAACCAGACCCCAAGGTACTTGAAAGACAATGATTGGGTAATGTTTCTGCCCAAAAGATTAAGCTGCATTTGGGCTGGGTACCGCTTTCGAGTAAACACTACCAGTTCAGTTTTCTGCGACGAGAATTCGATCCCTAGATTCATAGCCCAAGAAGACAAGTTATCTAAGGAATTTTGCAATGGTCCTTGCAAGTCCACGGCATGTGGACCTCTTACGGAAACCACACCGTCATCTGCAAGTTGTCTTAGCGTGCATTGTTCTGCCAAACAGTTGTCGATATCTTTGACATAAAAGTTATAAAGAAGAGGGCTGAGACATGAGCCTTGGGGCAGGCCCATGTAACTAATTCTGGAAGTTGTCAGTTTTCCAAGAGAAAAGTTCATTTGCTTTTCTGACAACAAATTGTACAAAAAATTATTTAAAATTCCAGAAAGTCCACATCTGTGCAGATTGTCTGACAGAATTTCAATGGAAACTGAATCAAAAGCCCCCTTAATGTCCAAGAATACTGAAGCCAATTGCTCCTTGTGCGCAAAGGCCAGTTGAATATCTGTGGAAAGCAGCGCTAGACAATCGTTTGTTCCTTTGCTCTTGCGGAACCCAAACTGTGTATTTGATAGCAAGTTATTTGATTCGACCCAGTGATCGAGTCTCCGAAGGATCATTTTCTCCAACAATTTCCTAATGCACGAAAGCATAGCAATCGGACGGTATGAGTTATGGTCAGACGCTGGTTTGCCAGGTTTTTTAATGGCTATTACTTGTCCATTCAGGCGGTACAATGTTGGTACCAACATTTGGCGGAGTTCATAAGACAACTTGTAAGCTTAGTAATATATTTTAGTCTATAACCGTTAAGATTTTTTTTAATAGCCTTTTCCAATGAATTTTGTGAATGAGCAGTCTGGAGCAGAGGTGGCAACAGTACATTTTTTTTTGCAAAACCATCATCCAGAGCAAAACAAAACCACCAGCATACGGGCGGTCGTGTATTTCTACAATACAAACAAACGACGGAGATAGAGAATAGGAAAAATGACGTAGCGCATTATTTTTCAAACAGTTTATTGAAATTCCATTTTAGCTGCAAGCTTTCGTGTCACAGTAAATAATGAACTCCCTTATTTACGCATAATTTTAACATCTAAGCTTAAGAGTGGTTAGTATATATATCAAATAAATGCTATAATTAGCCAGAATTCAGCAAAATTCTACATGACATAAATTTATGTCGCACGCGCCGCTGATCTTGTCTGCTTCATTGTGCGCAAATGTTCTGTCGCCTGCAGAAAACAGTTTAGAAATGTCATGACATTTTGTGTTTGTGCGTTTTCTGTATGGTCATTGCGCAAAGTATCAAATGTTAAGGAAAAAACGTTGAACTCCAGTACTCGTGCCACCACTGGTCTGGAGAACGCTGCCATAAAATTTATAAACATATCAGACCGAATCTGGCACGTCAAGTTTCTCCTGAAGCAAACCTGACGGATATGATGAAGACGGCCTTAGCCCGATCAGATCCGAAGATCGCGTGTGAGGTGGTACAGCATACGGTCCACCGGAGGACAAAAAAGTCTGATGATGCATTTGAGGCAAAACTGCAACAGTTCATAGTAGAGTCTGATGATGGAGTGGCCTACGCAGAAAACTATGGTGATGATGATGACCATTCCGATTGGATCAGTGACAGCGATGATGACGATGATCCAGAGTAACAGAGTACCGCAGTGCCCCAAATAATTATTTTATTGACAATATCACAAATTAGCTTGAAGAAGGTCAAGAGAAATTGTTTTCAATTGCACTGTGTTCGCCAAAAAAATTCTGCTTCAGTTTTAATCCGCACTTAGAAAATAGTCAGATGTCAGAATTGGTGTGAAGTAGACGAAAACCAATCGCATAAGATCAAATGATTTTAAATGAACTTTCAACTTACCTGAAGATTTTCCCAATAATTCCCAAAAACTTATGTTTCCATTAATATAAAGCATGAAAGTTTTTTTTAACACCCCTCCAACCAAGCCTCTAAAAAAATTTGAACGGCAAACTTGAAAAGCTTAGCCATTTTTTGACGAATTTCAGGATGCCACTGAAAACTACAAACTTCTTCTCCATGTTAATAATTAGCGAGATTTCTAGCCTTTGGCTGGTTCATCTCAAATAATCATGAAGTGATTTATATGCTCTGCCAATCAAAGATGGTTATCACTGGTCAGTGAAAGCATAGTCTAAACATATTGCTAAATTGATAGACTATTGCAACCAATTTACTGAGCATTTTGTACAACGTTCACATTTATTTTTTAATATGCTATTCAACATGCGCAAACTTGTAATATACAATGGCTTATTTGACCCTAAATTCTCCTATAAATGTTTCCAATAGTTAATCAAAGCTCACTTACTGGCTTCTAAATGGTATATTTGGAAATTTCCAAAGAAAGTTATTGTCTATTTAAGCCAATAAACCAGTTTAAATGCTTTCAATTGATAGAGGATTTTGGGGTAAATTAGGCGCTAAATATGTATATATTTGTCCGTACACAGTATGAAAACAAGCATATTTGATGCTTAGATTCCTTTTACCGCAAGAAAACCTAAATCTCATGTTAGCATTTCAGCGGCAAAAACTGTTCAGTTATCAGAAATCTTAAAAAAAAGTAAATTGTTTTTATATGAGATACCGGGGCATAATACGCTCAAAACATGCATTTGAATCAGTTTTGTCCTTTAAACTATTGTAAACCACTTTCTGAGCATCTTTTTTTTTAATATATTGGAAAACTTTCATATTTTATTACAAAATCTGGCAAATAAGGATCTCATATAAATGTTATCGATAGTTTTTAAAAGGCACAAGCTGACTACTAGAAGACAAATTGGTTTCTTCTGTTAAAGGGTACTGACTATTTGAATCAGTGAAGTATCATAAGGGGAAAGAACTACAGAAAAATATGGAATTTTGGGGTAAAATAGGCTCCACACATGCACTTATCACCGCGTACGCCAATTGAAATTTGCAGAATAAAATTCTTGACATTTTTCCCAAAGAAAGTCATATGTTACAATGTGTTGTTTGAGCGGCAGACAATTTCAAGCCTTTTTGCTGCCAAAATCCCCACTGTGCGTTGGTTCTCAGCACGGAAAACAAGATCGACGGAAATCAAATCAAGAAAAAAAAAAAAATTAAACTTCATCTTCATGCACATTTATTTTTTTTCCCTTAAATTCGCCCTTCTGGACCACTGTGCAATGGATTTTCCTGACTTTCCTTTTCGTCCACCAAGAACATTTTTCAGATTATATTTTTTTGGTTCATGAGTAATGAATTTTCAAAGTACGCGATGTCCGGGAAAATGCGAAAACTATAATTTTCCGAGAAAATAGAACCCCTTGAATTTTTTTAATGTTTTTTGTTCATATTACCATAAACTCTACCTGTGGTACCACTAAATTCGGAACAGATTCATTAAGAATCGACTGAAAGAAAGTGTGGAAGACATCAAAAATATTTTGTATTTTGACATTTATTCGCTATACAAGGATTTTTGTTAACTAGATTTATATCTTATATTGTAGAACGCCGGCATTGAGATGGATCCTTCTAATTAAAAACAAAAAATATCTGTCACTTTTACCCTATTCGTCGAATCAGAAAGAAACCGTTCATCGAACCACGTTTTTGTCCAGTTCATTTCATTCCTACTGGTACCACTTGCGACATAGAGACATTTTAATTGCCATACACAATTTCACAATTTTTAAAATTTTTTTTGGAAGTTTAGCAATCTCAGTACATTAAGTTGCAAAATAATTTAATAGTCAATCATCAACTTTATAATTTAAAACAACACCAAACCGCACACGTTCCACTCATCCGATTCACAGCGCGCAGGAACGCCGTTATCGATTATTCACACAGTTTTCGACCAGTTACCCGCCATCTTGAAACTGGCGCTGGCCGCCGTACAGGGGTAAAGTTTGTTTGTATCGTTCGTAGCACTCGTCGCTGCTGTTGCTCACTACGGTGGACGTGTGCCGTGGTGCTGGTGTGTAGTAGGTACCGTTTTACTTGCGAACAACCCACACAGGGGCATCGCGTTACCCCATTATACCAAGCAGAGCGATGTCGAAGCATTAGCAGCAGCAGCAGTGCGGGTTGAAGCGAACTGAGTAGTACAGTTTTGACGTCTCTCCGCATACACTTTCAAACATAGAAAAATTGTGAATCAGTTTTGTTGAAACAATTTATGTTGGAATATTGCAAATTTGGTCGGAAAGTGTCGGAAATTCTATAGCTGGACTATATTTTCTATCGGATTTCACTGGTAGACGGTTGGAAAAGTGGCTTGAAGTGTAAGAAATGAGTGAAAATTCGTCAGTGTTCCTGATAATCGATTTTCTTGGATATGACTAAATTTCTTATAATTATAATGGTGAGGCGTTCTCTTCTATCGGAAATGGAAGGAAAAGTACGTGGAAATGACGATATTGTGCCATTTTGGATCTAAAATAGAGCCTGTGGCTACAAAACGGTATATTTCACTCGTGAAAGTGTGTAAATTTGAGTATTTAAAAGTAAAATTCCAATTTTAGTGTCGTATCTCCGATCTCTCTTTGCTTGTCGAAGGGATTTTGTGTGTATATGTCTGTGAAGTCTGCGTTCGAATGGCAGCCGCAGTCGCGTTCGATGTGCTCACTGGGTGAAGTCAAAATTGAAATACGTGCTACAAGGTGCAAGGAACCTTATTCTAAAGTGCAGAATCTCGTGCTAGAGCAGCGACCTCTTGGCCGCAAACGTCAAGTGAAGTTGAACGATTGATCAAATTGGTATTCGCTCGTCTCGCAAGTTTAACGTGCCGTAGTGTGACTTGAATTGGTGAAAAAGGCTGCCATTTTCAACGCCATTACAATATGGACGGAAGCACCCATTAATCATGTACATTTCGGAGCTGGACTTTGTTCGTTACGACTAAATCGGATCTTTTTGCCGCGAGACAGATACGCACGGCAGTGCATCCCCGGATGCCGGCTGTTGCAAATCTCTAGTGACACTGTTCACCACAGCCAAGTGTGTTTATAGAGGAACGAAAATTGTAGACCTTTTTCTTACGGTTGGCGTGCCGCGTAGAACGTCATTGAAATTTGACCTTTCGAATTTTGTGGCAAATGAAAGTCGGGAATACAACATTTTTGACGGGATTTAAATTATTCATGGACGTTTACAATTTTCATTTTTGAAATTCTCAAATTAAGAATAGTTTTCCATTATCAATTTTCACCACTCACGCGACACTGTTAGGTGAACGGCATTCCTAAATTGACAGATAGCCGGTTTGTGTAAAGGGTGCAATATCGTCTTCCACTTTGAATCTGTTTCTCCGAGAGCGATAAAAAACAACACTTCACCGTTATAATACGATAAACTTTCAGATAGGACGAGTAAAGTTGTCGCAGCGAAAATAAAGTGAAAACAAAAACTAATTGACACTCGACTGTGAGTGACGCGCAGCAGCAAGTTGGAAATCTTCAAAACCGCTGACAGTTTTCAATAAATGTTGCAAACGTAAAGCAAGAACATAAAAAAAAAAACAGTTTCATCTTGCTAGAGTGATTTTGACAAGTGACAAGTGAATCTGCTCGGGAAGCCTTCCAGCAAGCATCAGTTTTAAACAATTGGATCGATCGAACAGACTGACAGATGTGACACAGAAATGATGAAAATCTAATCAGAAAGTCAACTTTTGCCGGCAGCGCTTGCAGAATTTCTCTCAAAGGTACGGATAGATTATATCGGTGATAAGAATATTATTCCTTCCCAGGGTACCATTCGAAACGAAACGAAACGAAACGAGATATTCTGCTCTGAGCTCCATGTATAGCTGTCATTAAAAACCAATGACTCGTGCAGGAGTACAGGGCCATAAATCCTTATCATATCCTCCATTCCTCGCCGGGTACGCACCGCCCGGGAAGAACATTAAAACTTTGAAGGCAGGGTATCTGCCATAAGCATGTTTTTATTACCGTCGGTCCCCGGTCCGAACGACTTTGTTTGCTGGCAAGGAATCGATACAACGGATGCCAGGTTCCTCAGTCGGTGTTCGACAGACATTTTCAACGACGACGGCAACGGCACCATGCTGTACCTACACCATATATTCGACACTTTCATTTAGGTTCCCGACCGGTTCCAAGTGTATGTGCGACGGACCGACCGTCCAACCGACGACGACGACGATATGGCAAGTGTTTGTAGCATCGAAGTTTTGCTGCAAAAATGATGGCTCACGGTGTGGCGAATAAAGCAGAAAACACGGTTTGCCTCTATTTCAGCTGTGTGTGCGGTGCTCTACGTGACGTCAAACTGTTATACCAGCACCAGGGGGAATGTATTTCAATGAATGCAGGCAGTGTTGCCTGCTGTACGAATACCGATGGGTTTTATGCGAAAACAAATCGGCGTTGAAGTAGCTTGCCCGATCTGATTAGAAACATGGAATAAGAGCTTTTAGTGCGAGTGTAACAACTATTCTAATAAGATTCCCAAACAAATGTGATTATTTTGTGCCTTCAAGGTGCTGTCAAAATGTATAACACTTGATTTGGGAACCGGGGAAACCAGTCTAAATGGAACCAACTGGGATGTTTCGGTTCTATGATCATGATGAACTGTTTTAAATCAAAAAGATAGCATATTTACTGTTCATCTATAGTGGTCGGTTGGTGATATTGTACATACCACACTTGAATTTCCTATGTCGACAGTAGAGATTTTGCCATCGGATGTCGCCACTGATTTTTATTTATACTATCAAACATTTCCATTACACGAGAATTTTAAAATTCGGCATAATTAAGGTGAATGCCATTGGACTGAGTGCCATTAGGCCGAATGGGTCATTAGGCCGACAAGTGGGTGCAACAACTATGAAAGGTATCATATACACATAAAAATTCAAAGATATGATCATTTGCAGCTGTTTGATGCACCCAAAGTCGCATTGACCATATCCGGATATTATGTCCCCTGGGCAGTGTTTAAAATCTGTTATGAGTCAAGACGCATGATTTCAATAAAAGTTAAGTACAAGATATGCCTACCCAAGCAGCACACGTCCATCATAAAAGTTGCTGCAGCTTGATTGTGATTGAAATAATTTACATACATATCTTACCACAACTGTTCAGTGACAAATGTGCTGCTTTGGTATTATCTTGAGTGTCTGAGAATACATTGGTCACAATGACGCGCAAAATTCGGGAACAAATTAGGGGCTCTTCATAAAGTTTAAAAACTACTGTTTGTTTTGGGCTTGCAAGTCAGAGCACCTCGTATCTCGAGACATCATGATTGTCAGCTGGGCAATAGATCAGTGTACTCAAAAGCAAACCTAGTTTGTTTTACCGAGGGGGGGGGGGGTCTTATATCTAAATCGCAATTCTAGATGCTTGAAAAATCTCACACTAGTGAATCAATCTATGAAAAATCTTCCTTCATTTCTCGCATCTACTTGTATCGTGCATCATCTTTTTGCAGGAAATCTTCAGAATCGTCATCAATCTTCTTTCTATCTACTCAGCGTGCTAACCACAGTAAAAAATCTTTCCTGCATCGTTGATAGAGTCACCCTATAGTCGCTATATTCATAGTCTGGCGGATAGAATCTCGGGAACCAGTTGAGCTGTCAAATAGCGCAACCAATCGAGCAAATCACAACCAACAACAAAAAATAGCACATCAGTTATTTCGAACAAAACTTCGGAGCCCCTTTTCTCGTGACTCAAGACTCGCCTACGCTAATTAAAAGAATAGAATAATCAACGTTTTGTTTAGAAAAGTTGATAGTATCTTTTCAATTGTTGGTCTACAATATATTGAATTAGTTCCGCTTTTTGATAAATCTAAACTAGCGACTATGAATATACCGACTATAAGTCACCCCTCTCGCTTTTTGCCTTTCTCTAAATCTCCACGCTAGCTTGAAAGCACCCATTAATGGGTAAAAAAGAATAGTTTTGCACTTTTCTTCAATATAATACACTGAAGTCTTTTTTACACGGTTTTTTTTACGCGGTTTTTTTTACACGGTTATTTTTACACGGTTATTTTTACACGGTTATTTTTACACGGTTATTTTTACACGGTTATTTTTACACGGTTATTTTTGCACGGTTTTTCACGATTTACACGGTACGTTTTTAACGATTTCTCGACAACGATACAATCTATCGACTTGATTGATGTGATTTATCCGTTTCAAGCTATAGGTAATCAAATGGCATACTTTAAAAAAAAATCACAATTTTTGGTGTAAATACAGAAATTTTTAAAATATGTCTATATGGACCATAGCATGCTATAATAACAAATGGCATCAACATCCGATTTTTTAAATGTGAAAAATCAAAATCTCATAGGTTTTTTTTTACACGGTTTTTTTTACACGGTACGTATCCCCCGTGTAAAAAAACACCTGAGTGTATAACTGTTACTCCTTAATCGGTAACAGATGTTCATTAATGGGTAAACAAATTTACTCAATAATGAATTAAGCTACTTTTATTCAAAATAGGTCTTTATTTACTCATTAATGGGTTGTTTCATGTTAGCGTGTCCGTGTTCCATGAGAGAAAATGGACAGCAACGAACCCGGGACCAACGAACGGGAGCTACAACAAACTTGGCAGAACAGTCAAAATTCGTGGGTGAGGAAGAGGACGAGGAAGTTTAGGTTATCCGTTATGTGTGCGACGGAGTACCCGGATTCCCAGCTCTCATTTCAACAACACGGTGTAGAAAAAAGCAAAAGGAAGGATTTTACGAAGGATTGTATTTTGTCTATACATCATTAATTCAACATGGCGTCCAATGTCTTCCATTTCTCTGAGTTAAATAGGCAAATTTAAGGTGTAAGCATCGGAGCCGATGAAAACGCGATTCGGAAGTATGGTCATGACATGGCTAAAAAATGGGATCTCCGAAGAGTAACGTCCAGCGGGCCAAGGCAAAAATGGGTCTAAAGACGTATACTGCTGTTATACGCATAACTGTCCCATATTCTATGAAAATCCTTATAACGGCAGTATAAGAAGCAGAAGAAGCCAAAGCGGAGTGAAAAACAAACCATCAAACCGTATTCAAAATTGTTGGAAAGGCATCTGTGCTGAAGCTAATGAATAGCGTGGAATCAAAAATCCGCTCCTTGGCTTACGACTGATCGGATCTCGGATTTTCTGCGTTTAACTATAAGATAATAGGGTTAACTACCCCATTTCCGGCCTATTAAGCACAACCTGCACTTAATCTTTCTCTATCTAGCGCAGTTTAACACCAAACGGAATGTTATTATTACTGATGGCTTCCAAATTTATTTATCTTTCCGGAAAAAGATTTGATAAAGAGAAACCAATCGTTGAGATATTGTCAAAAGTCTAACACTGCTTCTTGACGCCAAACTCGGCCTACGGATCCTAAACTCGGCCTAACGCCATTGAAACGTCAATGAATTCACTTAGGCCTATCGGATGAAGATAAAAATTGATTCGGCTTCTCTTGTTTTTGCGAATAATGGGTGCAAACCTTCATATCACGCGTTCTCATCGACTTCGGTCGGTAGCTTATTATCTAAAGTATCGCACCAAACGCACTATTGACTTGTTAACTCTGAAATCATGGATTTATTTGAAGTTTTCTGATCGATAGGCCCAAAATGGGCGATTAGGCAGAAGTAGTTCCCTACCCTACTATAGTAGAATCCAAGTGAAATTTGTGCGTCACCAGTGGCGGATAAATTTATGACAGCCGGTTCAAATTCCAGAGCTTGAATGATAAAAAAAATCAAAATAATGAGAAACGATCATTTTTATGAATGATACATGTAGGAAATTTGTCGAATAATGCAATGTTATGTGAATTTTCATTGCACTGTGATTGAAAGTTAATGAAAATGCGTGTTCTAATGCACCGATATTATTTAGGTTATGTTTTGTATGACTGCATATTCCCATCCCGAAATTGACGTCCACGTGTGCTGGATATACTGGATTATGTTGGGACCCCGTGTGACCTATACGGGAAGGACTAGCGGCCTGGGCTACACCAGTAGAATGGGTTTTTGCTGCAAAGTTCCTATCCCGGGAGTGGCCACTTGAAATTAATCTCAAAATACCCCACGACAACAAACTTTGGAATTTATATTCAATAAAGTCTACTTCAACCAAATGATGGAGCATATTCGATCTGTCCCTGTAAACAGTGGCAACCTTTCTCCACTGCGCGAATTTGTTGCTCCCGACTTCGGAACCCGAAAAAGTTGAAATTTGTTCTCGTTTCATCCCGGGATAATGCAACAATCTTGCAAAAGCAATGAAAATGTTAAACGAAGCTTAACGTTTAAAAAAATCAACCATTTTCTTGATTACAAGCAGTTATATCATTGAAGCATTTTGAAGAATGCTACTTTTCCTACAATTTTACAAACCTTTTGATCACCAAAAACGTACAAAACAAGGCGAATATCCAAATTAAAAAGTGAAAGTTCTTATATGAGTCACGTTTGACAGATGTTTTACATTGTTTACCACCGCTAGGACAACAGCGCCACTGGTGGCCGGTGGTTGGTTGGATTTGACTATAGAGAACATGAATACAAACTAAAAATCGAATTTTCTGTAATCAGAGTTACGTTATCGCTTTTTTAAATCGTGCTTAGACATTCTGGGACACCCTATACCTAATAAAGCTCTCTGGTTAAAATTTGAATGTCTGCCAAAA